CGTTACCATCACTGTTCCGGCCCAAATGGTTGTTTGACAGATATGTGGGTAACGTTACCATCACTGTTCTGGTCCAAGTGGTTATTTGACATACAATATATTTTTCAATTTTATTGCTACATCCAAGATATTTGTTTTTCAGTTCTTTAGATATATTGGTTTTTATTTCTGTAATTCAGTACGTTTTTGCTATACTGAGATATATATGTTACTGAATTGTAACCTGAACAGGTAATTTACTTGCTTCAACTGAAAAAAAACATAGTAGAGAGATAGGTGGCACTTATTTCCTAGCTTAAGTTAAAACACTTTTTCACTTCTAACATTTTTTTTGCATCAAATTCAAGCACCTTCCAGGTATTCAAAGAGCTTTTCTTTAGAAGATTTAAGTTTGCCATGTTGGAGATATTATCTATTTTTGCCTTTACGTGTTTACATTTGCTTGAATTTATAGTAACATTTTTTTATTTATGGAGGATTTTTAGACTCATGCTTGCGATGTACAGTAAATTGTAAAGATGTTTTTCTTTATAAATATGTAGTTTATGAAATAAAAACATATAGAAAACAAACTGGATTATACTGGTGAATTTTTCATCTTCTGAATAGTTCTTCTTTCGTACATTAAACACTTACACTGAAATATTAATTCCAAGGACATACGAAAGTAACAAAAATGTCAAACTGACTTTAAATCCTCAAAATAAGGAGTTTTTATTTAAAAGCCAAGAATTCAGAAAACCCTAACATGATTACTGAGGTGTGTGAAAACATTCCAAACCTGCATTAGAGTAGAACAAGGACCAAAGTGGATTAAAAGAACCTGTACATAATAGTACACAGGCTAAAATGTTTACATTAATATGTCAGAACATAATTGGCACTTCTGTAGAATACACAATGTTTTTTTTAATTAGTGCTAATTAAAATGTGAAGTTTAGTAGGTAACCTAATAAAAATAAACTGTATAACACATCAAAATTCACAAGACACTGCAAATATTTATTTCTATACAAAAGTACTTTTTGCTGCCTGATTTTTTTACATACACAGTTTAAGCCCACAATGACCCTTGCTAGAACTAGGAACACCTCAAACTTCATACAGCCAAATAAGAATGCTGTTACCAAAGCATTTTAAAAGTAATTGATACATGTCTAGTTCTTTGTTAAATTTAACAAGATCAAAAAGCATCATGCTGGTATCATAGACACAAGTACGGACTCTGTAATTCTTAATACTGGTAACTTTATAATTTTTTTTTTCTATAGCAAATTTTCAATGAACAGTACTAATACTAGAATGGTTCAGCCTCTGAACTTTAGACCTATTAGGCAAGCTAATACAGAGAATAGTTTGAAATGAGTGAAATGGAGTGAATTATTACATTTGAACAAAATAATTGTGCATGTGAAACATACAAAGTATATGCAGTATTTCACAATGAAATAAAAACAAAAAATCTTTTCTTGATATGGAACATGTTTTAACATGTCAGAAACTAACTCAAAGTGGAAGGTGGATTAAAAAGAAGGACAGAATACAGTGGAATATTTAAGGGAAGTAGTAGGATAACAGTCAATGGAGTATTTCAAAAGGTGACTAAGTACGATTAGTAGTAGCAGTTGCAGTATAAAGTTCAACAGAATGTTTCTGAGGAAGAGCAGAGGAAGAAAGTTTCAAGGTGGTTAGTTTTAAAATGTTTTGCTATATTCTAGTGCAAATTTGTGGAGAGTTAGAGATAAAAATTTGTTGGATCTGCAGAAGCGGGTACCAATGAAACAGGATTTACAGAAAATAGTATACATTAGGGGATAACTTGGAATAAGAACAGTAGAAAAATTCAGCAAAATAAAACTCCAAAGTGATTAGATGGACTAGAAAGATGAATCCTGTGGAACATTAGGGCACATCAGATATTAATTAAAAATAGTTGATATCAGTCTGAGAATAGTCAACTTAGTTTTGTAGAAAGCTGGGAGATGTCAAGTTAACTACACAATAGTTGATATCAGTCCGAGAATAGACAACTTAGTTTTGTAGAAAGCTGGGAGATGTCATATTAACTACACAATAGTTGATATCAGTCTGAGAATAGACAACTTAGTTTTGTAGAAAGCTGGGACATGTCACGTTAACTACACAATAGTTGATATCAGTCTGAGAATAGAGATAACTTAGTTTTGTAGAAAGCTGGGAGATGTCATGTTAACTACACAATAGTTGATATCAGTCTGAGAATAGACAACTTAGTTTTGTAGAAAGCTGGGACACGTCACGTTAACTACACAATAGTTGATATCAGTCTGAGAATAAACAACTTAGTTTTGTAGAAAGCTGGGAGATGCCATGTTAACTACACAATAGTTGATATCAGTCTGAGAATAGACAACTTAGTTTTGTAGAAAGCTGGGAGATGTCATGTTAACTACACAATAGTTGATATCAGTCTGAGAATAGTGAACTTAGTTTTGTAGAAAGCTGGGACACGTCACGTTAACTAAACAATGGTTTGGAAAAGAGATCAGATTTGTAAAAGTTTGTGCCATATCAAGTTAGAAGTAGTTTAAAATAGACAAGGCATGTAGTGTACATATCACAGCATGATGGGAGTCTGTACCAAACCTTTTACCGCAGACAAAGTTTTTTTGGTAAACACAAGATAAGCCAGAGTGAGCACTGGGCGGGTCTTATAAAAAGTAAATTCTTCACGTAGTTTTGAGTAAATCTGTTAAAACACAGAACTATATATATATCCTCAAAACTATTAATTATTACATTATTTTTTAATATCGCTTCAAAATTTTCATAAGCTGTTGAAAGAAAACTCAAACATTCATATCTATACAATGAACAAAAACACTTTTGATGCAAGAAGCATATTACATAATTATACATTTGTCACCTATATGATTTTCTTGCAAAAAAATCAGCTTACTCGAATAATTTAATATTGTAAAGAAACTAATGAAATACATAATACCTTTAAAGTTCCTTCTGTGACAGAAAAATTAGTCAAAACAGTTATCATCATTAACACTTAATACATCATATCTATGGTGTCCATTCAAATAGCAAATAAAAAAATAATCATGCTGTGAAAGGAAAAAAACAAATATCTCTTGTTACTCTTACATTATTGCCCATACGCATGTAAAAAAAAAGTACAATTAGTTTATAAAACTACCTACAAGCTAGTTCATTATTTATAGAATTTCCCCCAAAATAAAATGTTCAAGGTATAATACAATCTTTCAGCTATGTATGATTACAAGCAGATCTTAGTATATGATAAACACCTTCTAATAAAAACTAGAGAATACATTAACTACTTTATACGAGGTGTGACAAAAAAAAATATTTTCTTCGTACAAGGGATTATTGTGGAGATAAATAGAATTTGGTTTACAAATTACTTAATTCTTATAATAAAGGTAACTAAAGCATGCAGTGATTTGATTACACCTTTAGAGTTGCACATCCTTTTGAATGATTTGTTTTGAAAAAAATGTCAAGTGTAGCGCTCAGACCACTGACAGTTCTTGAAGATACAAGACAAGGTTTTAATCCACAAAAATGTTTCTTTTAAACACTGATACCTAATATTTACCATTTCTCATGAGGGCAAACAACAATAAGATTTAAAAAATTCTGCTTGATCCCCCCCAATATGTTTCGGATAAAGTAACAAAAGAAATATCTAAACTGTTAACCAAACTTTACCGCATGACATCACAAGACTTGTATAATAAGCAAGCACGGAACTTGGATTTCAGGTCAATGGTCACGGAAAATGTTGCATGGAAGCGTGTGGTTTTTATATGATTCTAAATTGTAAATTTATCAAAAAAAATCTAATTTAGGTTAGGCAATATTCAGTGGTTCCCATGCTTTATGTTTGGAGTGTCTGTATTTCAGAAACAGTTCTGTTTATGAGCAATTAATTTTAATGAATGCAAAAGCAGAAGTGGTCTACATAATGTCATCAAGCTGGAAATAGGTTAAATAACCAAAGATAATCATACCTAATCATCCCATGTATAATGAGAAAATATATACGTAACTTTCTATAAAAACTTTAACAAATATAAAGTTTTCAGTATTTTTTCTTTTTTATGAAGCTTTTGGTTTGAAATTCATAAAACTGTAATTCAGAAAAATTTTGAAAAATGTTTTTCGATAGAACCAACATACTTATAAGGAGGAATATGAAACTCCAATAAACAACATGCAAGCTCACTACAACAGTAGCAGTTAGAAGTGGTATATACAATGTGGTCGATAATTGCTTGCTTCTACTTAAGTGGTAACAATAAATTATAATAGCTTCATAAAACTGTTTGGTGAAATGAACCACAAGAATCCTAAGATGCATTTCTTTATTTTTTTATCTGCAACTCTGCATATCATCGTAAGAAGCCAAATTTCAACTAGATGTTAATGACACTTTTGATGATTTATCTTTTACATATTCTAAACATGGTTTTGCATTCAAGAATTACCAAATAATTTCATAAGTTCCCACACTACCACCTAGACTAAATCTGTTTCAGGTTGCTCCATTCCAAAATAGTTTTCAGTATGAATACACTGTACATTTATAAAAAAGTTCTGATATGATTTGACTCCTTAATCTCTACGATCAGATAATGATCAGAATTATTTGCTAGTTCGAAAAAGAAATTAAGATAATAAACGTCTGCCACAGAAATGTACCTTTTAAGAGCATTGAACGATATATTTTGATTGTAAGATTTTATCATGATCCTTAACTATCATTTAAAATGCTCCTATATTTGTTGAAAGCTAAAATCATCATCTTTTTTATCAGACTAGATGAAATTCATTTTTTGTAGTCTGTAAAATTGAACATTCTGTATCAATGCTATTATTTTCTGAAGACTTCAAAATTCTATTTTGACAATACTTTTAGCAGATATAATACGTTGAAAAAAAAAAACTTCAATAAAAAGTTTTGTTAAATATAAGAAACATTCACCACAAACATTTCATTAAACTTTTCTACTGCCAGCATTAGAATTACTTAAATAGAACTTAATTTCTTCCCAATTATGGGAATATTAGCTATATATTTAAAGATTATTTAGATGACAGAACAAAGAACATTTCAATAATGTACTATCACCTTTTAAAAAATTAATAAGAATCACTTATTTACATTTAACAAATATGGCAAGTCAGTAAAACAAAATAAAATTTCCAAAGAAACTATTTTAGTGTTTTAGTCTGCTTGTCACAGTTTAGAGTATTTCATGATCTGATGATTTGAAACTTAAACACTTTATATTAATGCATTTTTTTTTCTTTTTCTGGAATATTTAGCCACTTTGGAAAACTTAACTATTTCAAAATAGTTAATCATCATACAAGTAAGTTTGTAAAATATAATTAACAGCTTAAAAGTAGAAATCTAAAAGAAACTAACAATATCTTGTGCTGAGTAAATTATTAAAACGTGTCCTGAACTCACTACAAAAACCATTTTTTCTTGGCTAGATGGCTAGAGAAAGTTAAGAAAATGAAAATTCCTTCAGATGTTCTTCAATATCCACTCGACAGATTGGACAACGTTTGTTGGTGGTCAGCCACTGGTCAACACACACTATATGGAAGAGATGCATACAAGGGAGACGCCTGCAAGAGAGAGAGAGAGAGAGAGAAAAAGGATTTTAACACATCAAATAAAAGTGGTAATTTTACTGCAAACAAACTTGACACAAAAGGAAGTTTAAAGTACAAATATGCAGTAACAGAGAGAAACAAAAAGTGTGAAAACAATAATTTTAAGATAAAATCTTCTACAGCTGTAATGTTTTGAAGTTTATTACTATGACATCCATGTAAAACCAACGAAATAAAAATGCTAAAATAACCTAAAATCATGTCAGTGTTAACCAAGACAATACTGTACATTGCAGGATTTTGGTGTAACCCATCCATACAATAAAAATTGCTTCTGTAAAGATTTGGTAAGCCCTCAGAGCTCTTTATTCTTTTAAGTGAAGAGTTTAGGAACAAACGTTTTAGGCAGGTGAAAATAAGTGATTTATATTCTAAAGTTTGGTGTAACACTTCAAGGGATACTGTACATGATACAATAATGGAACAACTATTTTACAAATGATTTGGCATGGTTAGTACTTTAAAGGTGCTAGCTACATTGCACAAAACAATTAAAACAGTTAAATAATAATTACAAATTCTAACCTTTTAGCTAGTACAAGACAAAACCACTGTTTTAAAATAATAACAATCGCCTCTAATAGTTCATATCTATGAAAATCAGGCTTCTGATTGTAAGTCGTGATTTGAAATGTCAGTGATCAGACATTCAGCATACATTTGTAAATGAATAAAAATGTTTTCACAGTGCGACATCTAACATGATGTTGTGCACTTAAAATCAGCAATAATAAGGTATTCTCAGCTATTTTTAGGGCATTGTAATGTACTGAGAGCAGTCATGCACTGATGTTGTGTGCTTAAAATGAGCAATAATAAGGTATTCTCAGCTATTTTTAGGGCATTGTAGTGTACTGAAGGCAGTCATGCACTGATGTTGTGTGCTTAAAATCAGCAATAATAAGGTATTCTCAGGGCATTGTAGTGTACTGAGAAGAGTCATGCACTGATGTTGTATGCTTAAAATAAGAAATAATAAGGTATTCTCAGCTATTGTTAGGGTATATAAGTGTACTGAGGTGATGTGTCATCCCTCATATCCTCAATGGGACTGAAGTCCAGTAAGCATGAAGACCATTTCATATAGTCATTTGCTTCTTCTTATAGGCTAATGTCGGGAGCAAATGCACCAGTATATGCAACATAAAGAATCACAGTATGTGGTTTCTATGCTGGGTAACACTAATGGTATCATTCTGCAAAAATGTGTGGGTTGATACATCCACCAATCTTTACTCTTGCCTATACCACACTGAACCAAGTGGGTTGATACATCCACCAATCTTTACTCTTGCCTATAACACACTGAACCAAGGTCATAAGTGTCACGTTCCTACATGAAACAGGGTTGGAACTGGTTCCACATTCTCTCCATACATCAGTTATCTGGCTACATGATGAAATACAATTGTTCTGCAGAGAGAATACTATTCCACATCATTGAGTCACCAGACATGCTCTTCGCATCACTGGGGGAGTAAATGTTCTGTCCATTTATTGAGCATCTAACATAAGCACTGACTTTTCAAAGTATGTTTCTGATGTGACTATACAATGATATGGGGTTCAGGGCCGGTTGCGACTGCAGTAAGTATAGGGGGTCACCTGATTATTTTGGGGATGGTGATCTGGTATATCCTTGTTCAAGCACCACTGCTTCATTCTTCCAATGACACTTTCAGACATATGTAGTAATTGGCAACAACTTTTGTGATCAGCTGGCTTCAATCTGACTGATAACTCTCCACCTGAATAAAATATTCATGGGTCTCACGAGGTCTAGCCATGGTTCACGAACAAGACAGGATACTTTCAACCCTGTGATTTACTTAATAAAGATAACCAAGTCAAGGTTATCTATATGTACAGTACAGGCAGAATGACCAATCACCTATCATTCCAAACCATTTTCCAACTGCACACCAGATAGTTCCACTCACAAAATTCACAGACTGCTTTGTAGAATATCAACTGTTTTAAAGTACTTTTACATCATTCTGTGAAACAAGATACTGGAGTATACTGATTTAACACACACATTGTTTTCAACCATCTTGTTGGCCAGCTGAAACCTCCCTCTGGACTGGCACTGTTTTAGATTATATAAGGGATAACCAGACTCCTGATTTACAGAGGGGGTTGACTGATATTATTTTATAACACTGGTTTACTTTTTCTTTGTTATAGCTACAATGTTACAAGTTTGTATTATTCTTTGATTGTTTCCATGCAGTATACTTACACAATATATTTTATAAATGAATGACATGGGGGGATATTTTGAAGGTGATGACTATTTATCTTTACATGCCACTATGCTAAAAATATCTCTTACTGTTGTTCTTTAATGAGCACTTTACAGTATAAAAACATTGTTTCATTATAATTTTAACTCTTTTACTTGGTATCGAGTTGTATCATTTGTGTGTTTATAAGTTAGAAGGCAAAAATTCTACTTTACCTGACATCTTCATTGTCTTCAAATTCACTCAAGCAAATGGTACATTTTTCTATATTATCTTCTCCTTCACTTCTCTGTATCTACAATACATGAATAATGAAACAACATTCTTACTTAACAAGTAAAAGGCTTAGAATATAAGTTTTTACATTTTCCCTTAGAAATACTTTAATTTGAACTATTATATTTTATCTTTTAGTAAACAATGAAAAACATTTAGTGAGATACTCTCTAACCATTCCCAAACTAATAAAACAGCCTGATAATACAGTTAATGGTGATGATCTTCTGACACTATCAAAGACTACGATAAGAATCTAATAAAACAGCCTGATAATGCAATTAATGGGGATGATCTTCTGACACTATCAAAGACTACGATAAGAATCTAATAAAATAGTCTGATAATACAGTTAATGGTGATGATCTTCTGACACTATCAAAGACTACAATAAGAATCTAATAAAACAGCCTGATAATACAGTTAATGGTGATGATCTTCTGACACTATCAAAGACTACAATAAGAATCTAATAAAACAGCCTGATAATACAATTAATGGGGATGATCTTCTGACACTATCAAAGACTACGATAAGAATCTAATAAAACAGCCTGATAATACAGTTAATAATGGTGACAATCTTCTGACACTATCAAAGACTACAATAAATCTAATAAAACAGACTGATAATACAGCTAATAATGGGGATGATCTTCTGATACTATCAAAGACTACAACAAGAATCTGATAAAACAGTTAATAATGGTGATGATATTCTGACACTATCAAAGACTACGATAAGAATCTAATAAAACAGCCTGATAATACAATTAATGAGGATGATCTTCTGACACTATCAAAGACTACGATAAGAATCTAATAAAACAGCCTGATAATACAATTAATGGGGATGATCTTCCGACACTATCAAAGACTACAATAAGAATCTAATAAAACAGCCTGATAATACAGTTAATAATGGTGACGATCTTCTGACACTATCAAAGACTACAATAAGAATCTAATAAAACAGCCTGATAATACAGTTAATAATGGTGACGATCTTCTGACACTATCAAAGACTACAATAAGAATCTAATAAAACAGCCTGATAATACAGTTAATAATGGTGAAGATCTTCTGACACTATCAAAGACTACAATAAATCTAATAAAACAGACTGATAACAGTTAATGGGGATGATCTTTTGACACTATCAGACTATCAGGGGTCTTTTGATAAAATTAAATCTTATGACTGATAAGAAAAATTCAGATTCATCTATCTGGTAAGTTTTGGTATGGTTTATTTTCTTCAATACCATGAATGTTTATAAAAGATGGGTTCATTGACAAAATAAAGTTAGTCACTTATGTGAACTAAACCTATATTTTTTGAGGTGTTGTTAGATTTTCCTTACTATATCACAACCACCAAACTCTTCAATTCCTTGAGATTATAGTTTGTACTTGAAAATGTTACTTACTCTGTTTTGAAACTCACCTTTTTATATTTATGTGGAAAAGTATTTTGTTCAATTGTTGTTTGAGAAGCTCCCCTGTTTACAGCCATTCTACGTTGTTCGACAATTCTCATATAATCCTGTGAAAAAATCCCTACTTTAACAGCTAGATACACTAAAATAATCCCTACTTTAACAGCTAAATACATAAAACGTCTACAATTATATCTATTAAATCATGCGTCGGTTTTTAATGTCTAATTAATTCAGCTTAATAGTTTGATAATAAACTAGACTCCCAAATCTTCAGGTTTCCATATACTTCACATTTATAACAATTTAAATACTTTTTTTTTAAGTGTTTTTGTGGCAGATTGTTACACCAGAAACCTTATCAAATTTTAATATTACAAGAAACTCATTATTCTTCACAAAAAATAACACAAAGAATAATGTGTAATTATGCAAGGGTTTTTTTGAAAGTTTCCACTGAATCTAAGTTGCAATGTACCTTGAAAACTACAGGGTATCCAAAAAATTATGAGACATTACAAACTTAAACTATGACAAGACAGTACAAATGTATCAATTATGGTGGATGACGGGCACATGTATGCAGTATTTTGTCATAGTAAAAGTAATCACATATATATATAAAACATGCTTGGTAACAAACGCGGCAACAGAAAAGGCTACGTACATCCTGTGGTGGTGAGATGAAACCGACATTATAGTGTGAAGACAATATTGCAGAGTGTACATAAAAGATTTACTCATTAAGAATCTTAATAAGATGTACTACTAATTAAAAACATTTCTATCTGTTCAAGTTCTCAATGTGACACTTCTTTATTGGCTAGTTAAATTAATACAGTACCAAAATAATTTCGTTTGTGTTCCAAAAGAAAGCATTAAATTTTATGTTTTTGTTGAGAAACTACAAAAAAACAAAACAGACAGAAACTCTCAAGCTTCCAATGTTTTTTTCTTGTTTGCGAAGTTAATGAAACTGTTATAACAATTTCTGCTAGTGCCTGGCTCGTACTTCTGGATGGCTCAGTTGAATAGAGCATTGCCCCTGTTAACCAAAGGTCCTGGGTTCAAGCCCCAGTACCAGTGTTTTTTTTTTTCACTTATCAGCTTTTTCACTCACAGCAATGTTTCTTGTAAAGTTTACTTTCTTTCATTCATTCATAATATGAATTACAGCTGAAAATACAAAAAAGAAAAAAAAGAGGAAAAATATGTAGTTGTGTTGAAAACTAAAAGTATGATCTACTAACCTCCAGTCTTGCCTGCACATGACGTGGGAAGAAGGGCATATAGTGCGGGTATAAAGGCATTGTTGGGGGGATGTCTGGTAAAGTTGGGATGGCAAACATGTCTGGTGCCCTCTGACTTACTGGCTAAAAAATTTAAGAGAATGAAAATATTATTCTACAGTTTAAACTATCATTAATATTTTAACAAACTATGAAGAAAAAAAAAGAGATTAATAGTGAGAGGCCATTTGTTTCATTGGTAAATCTAAGATCTGTAGCCATCAAATAAGGAAAAAAATTATTTGTACCTAACTATATGCAGTAAATAGTAAGAGCAAATGACAACTGGAGGAAAAACCTTATGTTCTTGAATATCTGTCAACTGAATCTTGTGTGTAAAATTCATACATTGTTACTTTTTACAGAGAACTTAAAGTTCAATTTTATGACATTTTTATCTTATCAAAAAATATAGCATTGAATTATCTTCTTAAATAACTTTTACAAAGAGGTACTTAAATACACTTATCAGATATTTTAGAAATGGCCACAGTGAGCTGGTCAGTCAGTACATGATCCAATTAACGTTTTTCTCAATAAGAATGTTATTATGTCCTTGAACTCTAGCAGAACAATTACATATACATTGTTTTCAGAGTCTAATATCCTTGAACTCTACACAGATTATAAACTCTTATATTCTTCAGATCTAATATATACACGATTTCAAACCTTGATATCCTTGAAACCTAGCACAACATATACATGGGTTTTAAACCAATACATTCTTGAAACCTAGCACAACATATACATAAGTTCAAAACTAATACATTCTTGAGAGCTAACATAACATATATACGGGTTTTAAACTAATACACTCTTGAGAGCTAACACAACATATACATGAGTTTTAAACTAATACACTCTTGAGAGCTAACATAACATATACATGGGTTTTAAACTAATACACTCTTGAGAGCTAACATAACATATACATGGGTTTTAAACTAATACACTCTTGAGAGCTAACATAACATATACATGAGTTTTAAACTAATACACTCTTGAGAGCTAACATAACATATACACGAGTTTTAAGCCAATACATTCTTGAGAGCTAACATAACATATACATGGGTTTTAAACTAATACACTCTTGAGAGCTAACACAACATATACATAGGTTTTAAAGTTAAATATTTTTCATTCCAGCACAACATTAAATAGTTTCTGTACCTTAATATTTCAAAGTGGCTATCTTACTAGGAAAAACAAAGTTATAAATGTAAAGTAACCAAGTTTATTATTAATTTGATATAAAAACTGTATTATGTTTGCAATGTTAGTACAACCAAGGTTTCAGATCCAAACATGGGTGAAGAATGCTGGAACAAAAGCTATAGTGAATTATACGTATAAAATTAACTGTGGTTTTGAAATTCTTATTGGAATACAGTTTTTGCTTAGTTTACTGAAAAAAATATTTTTCTAACAAATATCACAAAGTAGTCCTAAGAAATTCTCTCACACTGTGCTAATGTGATTTTTTACTTGCACACTAAGGCATGTACATAGCTAATGTATAATTATTATTGTACACAGTGTAACTAATGTATAATTATTATTGTACACAATGTAGCTAATGTATAATTATTATTGTACACAATGTATTTAATATATAATTATTATTGTATACAATGTAGCTAATGTATAATTATTATTGTACACAATGTATAATTATTATTGTACACAGTGTAGCTAATGTATAATTATTATTGTACAGTGTAGCTAATGTATAACTATTATTGTACACAGTGTAGTTAATGTATAATTATTATTGTACACAGTGTAGCTAATGTATAATTATTATTGTACACAGTGTAGCTAATGTATAATTATTATTGTACACAGTGTAGCTAATGTATAATTATTAATTGTACACAATGTATTTTATGTATAATTATTAATGTTTACAATGTATTTAATGTATAATTATCATTGTACACAGTGTAGCTAATGTATAATTATTAATTGTACACAATGTATTTTATATATAATTATTAATTGTACACAATGTATTTAATGTATAATTATCATTGTACACAATGTATAATTATTATTGTACGCAATGTATTTAACGTATAATTATTAATGTACACAAAAACACATTAATATATAACCACTGAAACCTAAAAACCAACAGTTGATCAATGAAAATATTAAAAATACAAAATTCATATTAAAATTTAGTCTTTATACCTGTGCAAAAGGTCTAATAATAAGTTTTGTCACTTACGTTAAACGTAACAAGAACATATCTATTACATACCACTCCAGCTGTAATCCCAATATGTAAACCAGGAGGCACACCAAAGTGGTGTAAACGAGGAGGTGGGTGGTGGTAATGATGTTGATGAATATGGTGATGTACATGCGAGTGACCACTATCACTGTAATTATAAAACCAGAAATTCTTAATCTAGTCTTTAACACAACTGTTATCAGCAGGTACTCCAACTCATACATTGGAGTGATAAATAAAATTATAAATAATACATAAAATCTATAGATCAATAGTCACTATCACTCTATATAAAACATCTTTGTTTAAAAACTTTTGTATTGCAAAATCTGTACATTTTTTGTATAATGTTCTACATAAAAACCAACTCCAACTTACTAACAGAATGAATAAAACAGATGTAAATATAAGGGTCATGCTGATTAAGCACGATAACCTGGAGATCAGAGTTTTACGACTAATAGGGAGCAGTACTTAATTTCTTTTGGCCCTATTAAGAATGTTAACCATCAAGTACATATAAAAAACTTTTAGCTAGAAAAGACTATAAATCATTTAAGCCTAAGATAAATCTTTCATTACTATTATATACCTAAACGTATGCTATGAATTAGACGTGTTTCGATCAATAACTTGTGCCAACCATGTCTTACTGATTAGCATCAGTTGAAAAGATCCAAAGCTTGCTTCGTAAGTTCGACTGTGGTAGACGTTACAACTGTTTTGATAATGTCGCTAATCAGTTTAAAAATACCCGCATAAACCACAGTTGCTGTTATATGCTTGGTCTCCATCTCTCTTGTAAGTGGTTCTAAGTTTCAGATGGTTAGGTTCAAAGCATAGGAGACTCTCTCCTCTGGCTGCTTAGTTCATATGTAGCACAAGGAGTCATCGAGGTTGAAATGAACAATTATTAACTTGTAATACCTTCACAATATTTATAGAATATAACTTTCAAATCGCCTAACTGAAATACATATAATGATTACATAGTTACTTATTCTTGACGTATTGTACAAAAAATTTTAGCATTATTAATGACATTTGCTAGTAAAAAATCAAATGTATTAGCATTTCAATTTTGTTTTAAAAAAAGCATAAAATAATTTCATAATATGCGCAGAGTAAATTTGCATGATTCTTTTTATTTATGAATTATCAGTGTTTCTCAACACATTAAGTCTATTAGAATTATGGCTGAAAGAACGTGATAACTGTTGGTTTAGTTATTTACATTTGCATTTTATAAAACAGCTTCCAGTAATTTGGTCAAACAGACTTTTCTCAAATAAAAAAAAATGTAAATGAAAAAAAGAACAATATACCTTTAGAATAAATGATGCCTGTTCAGAAGAATCACAATTATTACTGATACTATTGCAAAATAGGATCAAATTTAAAAATACATTACTTTCTATCGTGTACAGAATATAGAGAATACTATCAATCTCTATTTAAAATATTTGGCTTTAAAAACATGCATTTGGTGAAATGAATAATTGAAATTAAGTTGATTCTATTTTATACCAGTTTTATTGTAAGATTCAAGCATGATAACACTTTCTTCTCATTATTATAAATTACAGATATGAAGTGATATGTTATAAAACCTTCATGTCTGATATACTCTTAAGATACCAATTTAACCTGCAGCTTAAAAGTCTTACCTCCCAGAGCTGGGTATCACCACTTCAGCCTGCACATTAATGGTGGGGTCCATCATGATATCTCCTGATGGGGGGGGAACAGGGTGTTGAGGAGGGAGAGGGGTCGGTGTTTGTACAGATACGGGAATGGACGGGTTACAAGAGGGACCAGGAATAGAGGTTTGAGGAAGTCCTGAAGGACCAGGTGTGGCAGCTGTCACAGGGATAGAATGACAAGCTCCAAACATTGGATTGTGAGTGGAACCCATTCCTCCTGCTTGAGCAAGGTGGTTGGGAGGTTGTCCACCTGGAGGCATTGTTGGAGTGCCATTAACTGCTGTTGTCAGAGGAACAGCTGAACTTGGGACACCTGGAACTGCTTCTGGACAAATATAGAATCCTGGAGCTGCTGTGTTTTGTGTTTCCATCAATCTTCTGTAAAATAAACAAAATACAGAATCTCTGCTTTTTTAATGAAATTTTCAGCAGCCTGTAATTTTGTTGCAAAGGGCCTCTCCCCCCCAAAATCAATGTATAAAAATTACAAATATATACATCACAACAAAAACAAGAAACATCAATATGCTCACAAAAATACTATGAAAATCTATTTTACTGTTAACATTTCTTAAAGAAAAATAGCTTTGTCACTTCAGTAGTAGAGTGAGAATCAAAGTAGTAAAATGTACTTGCATATCTTTTACATATGGTTCTTTCAGCCACTGATTTACAGAACAAATCTTTCACTTCAACAGCAACAGAAGAACTTTCAGCGGCTAATTTGACGAGCATGAGTTACACTAAGCAAAGCATACGCTCATATTGCATCCACAGCTATGGAATTCAATACTTGTAAATAGCAGACCAATGCTCAGTTTGAAAAGACATTTGATTAGTTTTCTCGTAAGTTATGTAGTCAGTTTTGTAGAAAATGTTCCTGCTGGAATGGTTGAATAATTATATGCAGATAATCAACACAAATATTCTTAACCTACTTAAATGTGCAAAATAAATTAATTTCAAATAAGGAATGCTAGGAATTTGGTGGATTAAAATGGCACAATATAATCACAACCTCTTATGTGTTAACCCCAATTTGTTGTGAGATTCCCATATTGTATTATAGTGAATTACAATACTTGGCATAAAGAAATGGTGAAATCACTCATTTTTTATGTAAAATAAAAAGGAGACCCCCCACCCCCAACAGTAATTAGTACAATTAATTGCAATATTGATAGTATCTTTGCTTACAAATGTTTTGTGGGACTCAAGTCAGGGACCCTGTAACCTACAAATTAAGGACCCAAATGCTTGCTCGTTTGTTTGTAGATAAGCACAAAGCTCTGCTATCGAAACCTGCTTTCTAGCATTATTAGTCTGCAGACATACAGCTAAGCCACCTGGGGGGCAACCCAAAACCACATACACAGTTTATAAAATGTGTCTGTATGACCTCATACAAGTGCTCTATTTGCTCATACATTGTTGATAACCTCTAAGCTCAACAAAATGGCCTAATGGACTTTTTACTCTTTTTCTTAACCAGCTTGAGATGCTACACTTCTAACTCATTAACATTAACAGATTAGTATCGCATCTTATGGTTTATTACATTTTCAGAGATAAAACACTAGGAACTCAACTAAATTTGGTCACAATCGCTGTCAATTTTTCTTTCAATAAAAATTATGTAGGGATATGTATCATCCTATTTTTAATTTTAAGGCATGAAGAACTTCCAAATTGCCTTTATTCCCGGGAAGCTTAAGTTAAGATTCAGTACATGTAATTATAGCTTGTTAATTAGAAACTTTCAATCTGAATGACACCTAATGCCTATCTAGGCTGAATGTCTATGACAGAGACACCAAAGGTTTAGGTATAGCCATCTCTTATTTTGAGCTACTAGGAAGCACCTACCTTCAAGGTCTCTGAAATAAACAGCAGAATTGAATGTCACTTCTTTATTAAAGCCACAGCTGAAAGAGCCCAGAATTTGTTTGGAAGCATGTTTTTTTTTATATAATTGCTTTACTTTTCAGGATTTTTTAAATAAATATTATAACTGTCTGTAGGTAGTTGTACCATCTGTTGTTGATGTGCTTAATCTCAAGTCTGTTTTTACAGAACACACTGGAAAAATTTGCTAAAACATTAAATTGATTTTGTAAGTCCATATGCACACACTCAATCATTAGCACCACACCAAACCACTTTCAATGTCTCATAGGATATAGATAAAAAAAAAAAAACAACCAATTTTGGTGTTCAGAGTACATTTAAAACTTGCAACCAGATATTAGCAATAGCTTGTGAGAAGGTGAGAAAAAATACATTAAATCAAATATTTTATTTCATAATGGATACAGGTTTAGTTTAAATTTATTAGAGAACCAAATATATTCATATGAGTACCATGTTACACCAAATTTGCCTAAATTAATGTTTCTTGGACTAAATATCTCAAACAATTAATACCTGTGCATGTACAAGCCTAAGGTATGTTGGTAAAGTCTCCTTCTTTGCATTTCCTGCATACGTTGTTGAGCCTGTTGATAAGAAAATGTATTCTTAAGAATTGGGTCCACTGATAATTAATAAAACTTACACAAGTTCAAGTCAGTGTTTATCAAATATAATATACCCAATATAATACAGTTTCAAAGTTCAATTTATATCAGTTCAAATACTGAATCACTTGTACCTAACAAAATAATTTTATCAGATTTCTGATAAATCACTTGTACCTAACAAAATAATTTCTCAGATTTCTGATGAATCACTTGTACCTAACAAAATAATTTTATCAGATTTCTGATGAATCACTTGTACCTAACAAAATAATTTCTAAGATTCCTGAAAAACTACACTGTTTAAATTTCTTTCTGCCCATCTCTTTTCATTTTCACAATTGCTAACTGAAATATCATTACCTGCCAAAGACGTTGGTGAGTTGGATTCATGTGCGCTAATCCTGGATGATGATGGCGAGGGTGGGGTGGAAGGTCCTGAAGACCAGGGGTTGGAGGAGGATTATAGAAATGGGGAAAAGGAGGATGTTGATTTGGATTGACAGAGGGGTGTGGAGTGTGGACTCCTGGTGGCATGTATGCTAAGTGTGGGCTTGGAGCACCTGAAAATGCAAATTATTAAAATTTTATTATATTTTATCACATTGCACTATAAGTGTTTAAAGAATGCTTCTCATTCAATCACATTTCCTAACAATGGAAAGAGAAGTAAATCTGACTTTACACACAATGTATCACTGTACATTTCATAAATAACATGCACAAAACAATAGTGGCATACAATACTAGCTAATACATTTAAGGTCAAAATTTACACGAATAATTGCAAAAAAATTAAAAGCACAGATCTGAATAATACATGGTGTTTTCCAAATTTCTGATCTTGGAAAAATTCTCATAATGTGTAATACTTATAACATCAGTCCAAACTTTCTTAGCACAAGACCCCATTCTGCATCCTTACTGAGGCCCCTCCATCCAATGAATCTATAGATACTAGTACCTTAACAGTATTGTGCATTTTGTGGGTGCTACAACTGACTGAAGGTTCTGCCAAGATAAGTACCCTTCTCACTTAATCAAAAAATGTCAAAGTCAAACTTGGAGCAATAATTAATTCAGGATACATCTAAACAAATAAAGACAGAGCTTACCCACAATACAGTTGAACAATAAAATGTACATATGTACAAATAAATGATGTTTGGTTTTTTTTACAGACACAGCACTGACCAACATAAAACATTAATTTGTCTGTGTGTGCTAACCAAAGATCTAGAAGTATCTTTTAACTTACAATAAATATCTAATTTCATTACTTATCTGTTGAAACACATTTTCCCACTATATCAGATGTGACATCATCTCTAAGTGCACCAACGCATATTTTCCCACTCCAATATTAAAAGTAAGTACCTTTTGTGATGCACATACAGTTTTCACTACTTCATTATCTCATATTTACATTTTTCGAAACTAGAAGAAACAACCTGTAAGATGCACAGATTATTTCAAAGCTAACCTGTGAGGGCATAGATGAATTTCAAACAGTTTCAACTTGAAACTGAAGTAAGTTCTCTGGCCAAGCTTTTGAATGATGATAAAAACATGATTTACATAATTTCAGACAGTTTGATCTAAAGTTTCTAATACAAGAAAGTTAATTGTATAAGAAACTAATTAGTATACTATTTTCAAGCAAGATAAAGGCTATGTCTAAAATATCTAGTTGATATATTTTATTTAAAAAGAACACTATTAAATTTATATGTAACTCAGAATAAGGTGTAGTAGGAACAGATGCATTTTTGTTTCAGGAGTACAGTCCATATGTTTTTGATTAGAATGAAAGCAATGAAGAGATACATATGTGGATGACACACACTTATTCTTTTACTGTCAAAATGTAAATTAATTCTATCTTACTTGGATAGACATGGTTGTGAGGACAAGAAGCAGCATTAACAGGATGTGACTGTCCAAAACAATTATTGAACGATCTACAAGAATCTCCAGCTCCACCAGATGTCTATATAAAGATACATGTTAATGATACGGAGTACCATTTAAGATATACATATCCTTAATATCTACACAGGTATCAGTGATACAGAGTTCCATTTAAAACATATATCCTTTACATCTATACAGGCACCAACGATAGCGAGTTCTGTTTACATCTACATATATATATAGGCTACAGAAATATAATAAAAATACTGAGGAAATACTCTTGGATAATATTACACAATAATATAAATATACACTGTATGATAACACAAGGATATAACCAAAAACAAATATTTTGAGATAATTGAACAATATAAGCTTAGAGAATCATATCACAAGCTATGCAAAGTGAATAAGAGTATATTCAATAATAATAATGTACCAGCACAGTAAAAAGGTGTAGACTGGTACACCTTCCAAAGTACAAAAACTCCGTAACACAGAAACTCACCTGATTTCCTATGCAAGAGTCTGTGGTTTCATGACAGCCCATAGGTTGCTGACTTGTGTGAAATCTACAAGTTGGGAACTGTACAATAGGTACAGGATGAGGTGGGTAGTTAGGAGAGTGGTAGTTGCTGTGGGGGTGAATAGAACGCTGATTTTGCCCCTGGCGACTGAACACTTGACAATAGGAATGTGTTGGTTCACTGAGGAAATGTAATGTTTAATATTTATCTTTTTCTATTTTAATAATAAAATTGAAAATTTTACATCCTTATTGTGTATAATACATTTTTTAAAAGAACAAATAAAGAAAACTGATACGTGGTATGTTCTTAACTTGTCTGAATTATATTAATAGCCATTAGATTAGGTAACATAATGACCTCAAACTTTGTGTTAAATGTTAATTGAAAATAAGATGTAGTTATGGAATAATATTTCTACAAAAATATGATTAAAACGTAATGTGCATTTGAACATCTCATTTGCAAATAAAAAATTTTTTGGCAGACCTAAAAAATATTCATGAACTCTCAAAATTCTAATAAAGATACAAATCTTTAGTTTTGATGTAGTCATTGTAAACATTTGCAAGTTACTAAACACAGTCTAACAAAAATTTCAGATATCATGGCTTATGGAAGGAGATTACAAGTTATTTAAAACTATCCACCCAACAAAATTCTAACCAAAATAAGAGATTTTGAGGAATCAGTAGGAAATAAACTGAAGTTAAATAATCTTTAACTCTTTCAGCACGGGCTCGGACCGACTTCCTAACCATTTTGTGCTTGTTATAGTTTTCATGCTATAACTTTTAAATTAGTAAGCATATGTTAACAAATTTGGCAGATTATCAGTAAACATTACAATGCTTTCATACACAAAATATCAAATTTTTTTATTAAGTCATAAGGTTTGTAAAGCAATGTTTTTCTCTTGCCAAACTCCTTTATATACACTTACTTCTATATGACACAAATAACCAATTGAAAGCTCAGAATTTCCCCCTAGTGGCTTTCTTCAGCCAAATGTGTTTGCATGCTATATCTTTCTTTTGAACCAAGATTTGAAGGAGGTAGGATGTGTCTTTAGTCTGCTCAAAATTTCATATTTTTTTAAGACTGAAATACAGCTTAGTTACAAAGCTTGATAAATTATAGTGGAATTCTATGGTATTGATATAGTAATTTATAATTTTTTGGTTATCCAACTGTATATATATACGTATATAAAACCTAAAAAGTTATTTTGTTTCTTATCCTCCATGTGCAAAACTTTAAAAGGCTTAGCAACCTAAGTCAAGCAGCAACCGAGTACAAAGGTCATAACTAGAAGAGATAATTGTTTGTATTACTTCTTTATTTACTGTTCTATGTTTCAAGAAAATTAAGTTTAAGAGCTTATTTCTAAATAGCAATAATCTATATACATATATGATGTATAATAATTGACAGTGACTGTATTTTACAAAATACTAGTCTACTAAAACGCAGCCAAGACATGTAACTTTGTAAAGACTAAATGTCAGTTTTATATTATTGGATACGGTAACATGAGTGCATGTGTGCTGCATCATTATAACTTCTGTATTGTTAGTCAGGCATGGCTGAAAGGTCAGTATAATAAAAATAATAATGATTTTGTGTTATAGACATTCTGTTGTCATTCTAGAATGAAAGAGGGATAATGTATATCTATTTCCTAATTTTTTATGGTGGTTATGATATCAGTAAATCTACCGAACCCATAGAGAGATTTATTACTGAAAATAGCAGATAAAATGTAAAGTTTTTTCTTAAGAAACATTTGATAACTATCTGGACATTATAAAGATCCTGCATGCAAAATTTGAAAATTTTCTGATGCATAAAAGTATTTTTAATCTTAAAATGAACATTGCTTTGCATGATAGACAGAACTAAAAATGGAAAGAGATGGGTGAGGTGCCACTGTGTTTGATTCATTACATGAGCAATATCTTACCAAATGGAAAAGATAAGAGGTTCTTATTTTATATTCTAGCATGTCAATATCAGTAATTTGAGTTTCTAATTCGTACGAAACTACAGACTTAGTACTTTGACATCACAAATGTCTAATTTGAACCAGTGCTGCATTCAACATACCACATGTTTTTTGTTTGTTTTTTATATTTACTTTCAAATTAACAAATTGAGTAACATACAATACGAAAATTTGAAATATAATCTACAGTTGGATAC